TTAAAAATCTGTCTGACACTGAAAATCTGTTGTATTGTAAAATTCGTTATATCAAAATTTGTTGTAGAAAGAGTTGACTGTAATAATATATTAGTAAATTTGCTAATTTTTTATTTTCATTCATATCTACATCATAATAATAAACAGTTTGATTATAATATATGTTTTTAGAATAAATAAATATTTTACAAATTGATATTAAATAATTGAAACTTAAAGTTATATAATAATTTTTTATTGAAAAACTTAGAGAATTATTATTAATAAGTAATAGATTATATATATATTATTGAAATGTATTTATATTATGTAAAAATTTCTTTAAAATTACATTTGCTATAGATATAAAAATAGTAAAAATAGTTATATAGATAATAGTTTTTTTTGAATATTATTTAATATTTGTGACTATTCTTTTTATTTATTTTAATGTTTGAGCCAAAAATAATTTATTTAAGTTTATTTTATTTTCTTCACTTATATAATCAATGTTATTAATTTTATCAATTATAATTTTTTATAGGTTTAATTTGGTTATTTACAATAGGTATATGAGTAGAAATTTAGGTAAAGATTGGTAATTTTATTTGGATTATATTTTTGCATTATTTAAGATGTTAGGACAATTATTATTAATGTGAAATTATTACATTCAACTTGATTTAATCTAAAAATAATATTTATTAATAAAATTTATTAATCAAATACAAATTAATTATATTTAGAGTTTTTTAAATTTTCTAATAATTTTTGAATACAAATCCTATAATTTTATAAACTTAATTATTATAATATTATGTAAGAATAGAAATTTTTATTAATTAAATAATTTTTTAATAGCATTATTTATTTATATAAATTAATGAATGTATTTTATATAGATTATAAAATATCTGGGAATATTTGATTAGAGAATTCGGCTATCAAAAAAAAATAATTTATTATTAACGGAATTTCATCAATTAATGGGCCTGAAAGATATGTGAGAGAATATATACAGAAAGATAAAAAAAAAAAAGTATTGTTACCAACAAAACGAGAAGGTAAACTTGTTTTATTTACGCGAAATAAATTCGAAAAAAAAACTCGAAATTAAAGGTAAGTTTGTTTAATCATTTAATGATATAAATATGAATTTTTTAACGAAATCTCTAAACAATTTAATATCAACACCATTATGACTATAATCATGAGAAGGGAAGATATGTTTAACATTATCTAACTGAAAAATTTGAGTAATGGCTAATTTAACATTGTTTAACTGATCTATTGTTAAAGTTAATGGCAGAGTAATAGATGGATATGATAAATATGAAATGTTCATGATCAGATCTCCAATAAAAACCGAATTTGATGGAATATGTAAATATGAAAGGGAACCTATAGTTTTTAAATGTGAAGAAAAAATTTGAATTTGATAAATGTTGATTGTTATTATTCTTACTATTTGAAAAATCAAAGTTGTCATACCTGACGGATTTCCAAATGTAAATATTGGTTTAAAAATATCATAAAATTCAAATTCTTCATCGTAATCCTGTTTAATAATCTGACATCTATCTGCAATATCGTCTTTTCTACACAAATACTTTAACAATTTGTCATCTTTTGATTCTCCCAATAATACTTTAGATTGTTTATAATCCTTTAATAATTTGATTATAGAGCCTGTATGATCATAATTATCGTTAGTTAATCCAATATATTTTAAATTATAATTTGGATGAGAAGAGAAATGAGTGGAGAGTGCATTCAATAAGTAATTATCATTAGTTGGATCTGATGTATCGAGTAAAATGCAATCATAAGTTTTGGGAATGTGGATGAGGAATACGTTGATCGGGTATGATAGTTTTGCATAGTTTTGACTAAATGTTGCTCGATAAATATTTGGTAAAATCTCTGTGAACCTTTGAAAATCGGGTAGTGAAGTTAAAGGATTATTCATTTTATTTTTTATATTTATATTTTTTACTTTTTTTTTTTTTATAAAAAAAGTTATTCGAAAAAAAAGTTAATCTGCTAATTCATCGATTTAAAAAATATGAAACCAATTTATAAAAATATTCAGGAATTTAAATCTAAAAAAAAAAAAGAGATGCTGGTGAAACGGAGTTATTATGCGCAGCATAGTATTAGTAATGATGAGTCAATATGACCTTGCTGGTTGGTTCGTGAAAAATTATAAGATTTTTCTCAAACTATTTCGTTCTATTTATTCTTTAAATAATAATAATAATAACAGCAAATTTAATAATTTAATACAATATTTTGCTATATATAATTTTCTTTTTTTTTAAAAAAAAAAAAAAATATCTAAAATTACAAGTTTTTTTACCTAAATAAATATTTCGCGCCCGGCCTTATTTATGATTTTTTTGAATAAATTTGGACATTAAGAAAAATATCAGTAGGGCCGTATGCGTTGCAAAGGAACAAATTCATCAGGTATATCCTAAAGTTTTCGATGAAACGCTATAAAATCAAATAAACAAAATCATATTTAATCATCATAAAATATATAATAAAAAAAATAATTATAAAAAAAATATATTATTCAAAATAAGAAGTTACCTTCTTGTTCATCTATTATACAGAATAAAAGACAAAAATTAAATAGTTTATTAACTTTAAAATATTTAAAACAAACATTTTATAAATTTAAATATTTTACCGGGAGTTGCATTTTTGGGGTCTGGTAAATTATCGAATCGATAAATCGTACTACTTGAAATATTTATTGGTAATGGATATAATGCATCTCCTGAACTTTGAGAAATTTCAGATATAGTAGAATTATATTCACATGAACTATCATTTAAACAATTTTTCCACAATTTTTCAATTTCATTTACAAGAGTAAATACAGTAGGTCTGTTTTGTGGGATAGCATCCCAACATTGCTTCATTATTCTTCTATACTCTGAAGGAGTTCCTGATAAAATCTTGGGTCTCATACCACTAACTATCCTCAATGCAAAATCATAGGTATGATTATAGTTCAAAAAAGGCGATTGTCCGGATGAAAGTTCCCACATAATAATACCAATACTATATATATCAGATGCCGTAGTAACCTCTTTTCCAGCTATAACTTCAGGTGCAATGTAAGGGAGGTTACCATATATACTTTTGGATGGCTTATCCATTGGTCCACAAAATCCAAGATCACTTATATACCAATAGTCGTTATATTTTAGATATAAGACATTCCCGGAATGCAAATTTCGATGGATCGCATTATCATTATGAATTCTGAGACATGCATGAATGAGATCATGAGATATTTTGACTCTATTTTTCCATGTAAGGGTATAATGGTTTTGCTGTAGATAATTTCTTAAATTTGCATCCATTGAAAGCGTCACAAGCATATAATTTCCGTCTAATGGATTTCGAGTTAAGCCATAACATCTAACAATTTCTGCCCATTTATTATTTAAAGTTAAAAGTGATCTTGCCTATAAAAATTTTAATCTTAAGACGGTTAGGTCACTTTATTTTTTCATTCAAACATTAAAATTAAATGAATTTTAAAACACATACCTCATCAAACCAAAGTTGACTCGAATTGTCCATAATTGCTATCTTTTTAAGTATTACCTTATGTGATCCAAGTCTTTTCAATTGTCGTTCTTTGGAATCCCATTTATCATATCTTCCATCAATCCATTCTGCGGAATAAACTTCAGAAAATCCACCTTTTGTCGTGTATTTAACATCACGTAATTTATTAAATGGTACCCATTCAAGTATTTTATCTGGGCGGAGTGTTTCCCATTGACAACTTTGTATTAAAACATCAACATCATAATTTCCAGACGTCCAGTTTATATAATTATCTCTTAAATAGACCCGTATACAATTCTCACAATGCAGTGTAGCTATGCAATCTTGATCACAGTCTCCACATCGTCTTTTTTTACCATTATTATAGAGAAGATTATTATAGTCACATTCTTCGGTTAATATTCTTACTGCTTTTGATTTTTCATCTGCTGTAAGAGTTCCGTCATCAAGAATTATTCGCCTTCTAAATTTAAATATTTTAGTTGAGTCATTGCAAAGGTTATAATCTACTAATGCATCAGCTCTTCGAAGTGCAGTGAAGACTACCATGTCTCTAACAGTAGTAGCAGCCATAACGAAAATTTAAAGTTTTAGGTTTATTTTAATTTTTTTTTAATATATATATATCCCCATTATGTAATATGGTGTAACAAAACTAAAAATAGATAATTACCTAATTAAAACTAATCGATCCGTGATTGGAGAAAATTTATTGCCCGCTCAAAATTGACAAATTCTAATTATTGTTCAAAAATAACTTTGTTATATTTATAGAGATCTAAACCTCACTTGGAAAAGTATATTATCAAGAATCAAGTTGTAAATGGGAATAATGATGGATAAAAATACAAAATCATGTATTTCTTTTACTAAGTATAGCATCTTGCCAAAAAAATACCTAAATCACGTTCTTTTTGGAGCACCATTATTGCCATTCTTTAACATAATGTAATTCTTCGAAAATTAGTTTTTTATCGGTACTCCTATATTTCCAATATGGTTCCAAAAGATATTTCAAAAAGCATGCTATTACTGAAACAAGAAGGGCTTCTTCGTTGCATGATTTTTTACAATAACGGAATATAATAATATTATATATAATTAAAGTTTTATTACATTTTTTACTCAGCGAAAGAAATCGGTAATTTCGAACTTTAGCTATTCCGCTTGTTTAAAATCTATAAGAACTATAAATTTCATGTATTGACGCTTCTTTAGTCACCTCAAAATATTAATTTTGTTGTAATTTGTAATTCGATCCTACGATCTAAAAGATCGGTCTAAAAATCGATCTTAAAGATCGTCTTCGGGGATATTAACAAGTTACACCAACATTATGCACAACGTGTTAAATTTCTTACACGTTTTTGTAGAACAATAACTATAAAAAAGTGAATCATCAAATAATTAACTTTGAAAAGTATAAATATTTTATATTTTCACAGACGTCTATAAACTATTTCCTATCATGTCTTCAAGTTGGTTCGAACTTAAATTTGTAAGAATATTTTATCTTTTCTTTGAACTTTTTAATTATATGAATTTATCATTTTTGTTTTTTAAAGGATTTTGAAGGACAAAAATTGGCCGAATTTGTTTCTCAAGCAGGAATCATATTATTTGCGGTACGTATTAAAATTAATTGATAATATATATACTGTTGTATGAGAGTATTTAACAAAATGATTTTACTATTTATCTAGGTTATTGGATTTGTTGTAGGATTTTTGCTTCAAGACATTCTCTTGACTTTTCAAATCTTTGCTGGTGGAATTATTGTAACTTCTATAGTATGTATTTAATTCACAAGACTTTTATATTTGTTTTTGACTTCTTTCTTATATGTAACATGATATTTTTTTTTCTAACAATCTATAAGCTTGTACTTCCATCTTGGTCATTGTATAATAAACATCCTGTTCAATGGCTTCCTCCAATTCAAAATGAGAATAATCAAAAAACACTTGAACAAAAAGAATCTAATTCTAAACCAATTGAAGAAAAATGAAATGAAATTATTAATGATGAAAATTATTAATAGAAAGTTTTTTCTTTTATTTATTAAAGATATAGACTAATTAAAGGTAATTTAGCGTTTTAATAGTTTTGTGATGGTTTAATGTAATCTTAAAAAATAAATAAGATTTTAGTAGTTCCTAAAAAAAGACTTGGAAATAATTATTATTTAAGATCAAATTTGTAATTATTGTAAATTAATAAAATAATTGATAACTTTTACCGATATAATATTTAAAAATGCTATAAGACACGTTTGATCTAGCATATCAGGGAATGATATTCCGTAGTAGAAGAACATTTTGATGTATTCTTCTTGCAGCAGATGAGTATTATGAAAATATGAGTAAAGCTTCTAAAGAAAGAAAATTATTAATAGAAACATCCGTGTATCACATATGAAACAAATCTTTAATTCTTTTTCAATTTCAAAAACAAACAAATTAATATTATTGCATTTACCCCAAACAAGGATCTGTTGAATTTATTAAGAAATAATTCATAGTTCACAAGACATAATATGAAAACGATGCGAAGATGTTATTATACTTATTTATAAATTGTTTAAAAAAAACAATACAAAATACTTTTTAACAATACAAAATTCAACTTTACAAAAAAGGTTCACATTTTTCAATAATGCAACATTCAACAAGAATACAAAATACAAAATTCAACATTTTAAAATATTATAACTTTTTTTTTAACATGCAACTTCTAATAAAATTCGCTATCTATTCTATCTACTATATCTACTAGAGATTAGAGATGTCAATTCTCAGTGCTAAGTTTTTTTGTTTTCAGAAAAAAAAAGTGCTTAATGATTTGCCATTGGAAATGGGCTGCAGGTAATTAATTACCCTGTATGGATTCTCTTAAAATAGCCAAATGAACAATTGGTTGCTAAAATGTGGGTACTTGAATCCCAATAACGCGAGCTCTTAAAGGTATTGCCTCTAATAATCTTGCTCTTTAAACTAATACATTATTTTATAATATAATCTATATTTGTTTTACCAAAAAATATATATATATAAGACCTGCTTTACAATAATTTTCCTTTGCATCTTTTTTAACTTTGATTTTTCATTTAATAATTATTTCTCTAGAATTATACTTAAATTTGTGTTTTTTAATAATTATACTTTTAGTATTATGATAAGTTATAATAGTTAATAGATTAATTTTCAAATATAAAGATGAATCATTAAATAAGATAATATAAGTTTGTTATTCTTTTTTATAAAATTTTCTATTACATAACTGATCATCTAATATTCACTTAATACTTTATATTGATTAACATTCTAGAAAACACATTCTGTAGATATTTTTATTGTTATAATGATGAATATACCTTTTAAAAGTATCAAAAAAATTGATGTTTAATATAAGCAAATAATCCTAGTTGGTGATTTTTTCTTTTAAATCTATTTAGAAGCTTGCAATAAATTAAATAGATCAGGATATTTTTAAATTTATTATTTTTTTTTTGATAAACTATTCAAATTATTATGTAGAATATTATATTTTATTATAACCAAATATCATGAAAGTCTAATTTATTTCTTGAAGTTTTTGACAAATAAAACAGAAAATCTCAAATGTTAATGATATTATAAGTGAATTAAAAAACTATATTAATATTAATAAAGAATTGTATTGCTGCAATAATCTAAATAAACTGTGAAAATACTTTTAAATACTATTTAAAAATAATAAAAAAACAATATACAATAAGTTAATCACAGTTACAATTAGAAAAGATTAATGTGTTATGAATTAGTAAGCACAAGATACCAATTGCCTTCTATTAATATTCTATTATTTCAACTCATCAGTTTGATATGTGTTTTTATAAGTTGTTTAAGTTTATTTAAGTATGATTTGTTAAATTGATTATTAGATTTCTATATTTAATAATATAATATTGATCATATAAATATTATGATTTAGGTTTAAATTTTAGGTTCAATTTTAATAATCAGCTAATATGTTTAATGTTTTTTATATAATCTAAAAAGTTTTTGACTTAGTTAGTTTAGTTGATTATTAATTAATCTTTTTCTTTTTTTTTAAATTGATTTACTAGTTTCTTTAACTATTTTTTTACTAGTTATATAAAAAAAAGAGTAATAAATCTTTACAAAAACTTTATATATACAAATTACCTAAATAATCTTAAATAAAAGTAGATGAATTTTTATATTAAAAGCAATTTTATAAAAAAATTTCATTTTAATATTCTCTTAAAATTATGTTTTTCTTTGTTTTCCATATTATTAACTTTTAATTTTCTATCAATTTTCATTTAAATATGATTAAAGTATCATTTAAAATAATAGGTGAAAATTTTTATTATTATATATTATTACTGTTTTAGCAAATAAATAAAATGAATAAAAAGCTTTGAAATCTTATTTAAATTTTAGATTCAAATTAAAATAACTAATAATTTTATTGATAACTTTTGATATTAAATTTGTATATCTTTATTTTTTTTTGATAAAAGGTATTTAGCAAAATTTAAAACTAACTTTTTAAGAATTTTCACTAATCAAAAAAATTTCCTTTAAAAAATTTAAACGCAATCTTTTAAGTTTCCAAGTTATAATTTTAATATTAAAATAAGATAATTAATTAAATAAATAAAGAAAAAATTTTCTTTTGATAAATGATTAATGCTAATTATTATATATGCTTTTAACAAAAAAATAGGGGGAAAAAAATATACAATATAAAATTTTACTTGCATTAAACCTTTTTAACTATGAAAAAAAAAAGTTTTTTTTTTCGTTCTCGAGAATAAAAAAGAAAATAGGTTAACATTTCCGAATATATAAAATGTAAATTGTCACCTATTACTTTCTCTGTTCATAGAACGTTGTGAATTATTCCTCATTTAAATTAAAAGAGATCTCGAGTTTTCAATTCTTTTCTAATTCGACTACATTTTGTTCGAGTTAATTCAAATTGGTTATAGAAAACCAGATTCTTGTAATAAGCGGGCAATCTTTTCATCCTCACGCTCCCTAAATTTTATGGCATCAAAATGATCGAATTTTTTTAGTAATATTTCAAATAATAATAAATTCCTTTATTATTCCGTAAATAATCTGTTAGAAATTTGACGTTGATCCATACTGTTGAATGAAATTCTATTCTTTCTTCTCACGTCGTCACAAATCAAAATAGAAAAAAACAATTATTAAAATTTTCGCAATTATTGCTATTTACCTTGGTTCCATGCTAAGGCTTATATCATACAAATCTGCAACATCTCGGCTATTCTGTAAACGACACTTTATGAACGCTTGTATTTCTTGTATTGAATTAAGATTATAAGGAGCAGATTGATATTGTTGAATTTCACGTATCACTTCTGCTGTTTTCATGCGTTTTGAGAAATTAATCAAACGTGATTTTTTAAGATTGTTGGGATTACCATCTTCGATGAATGTAAGATCAGTCAAATATACACCTATTTAAAAATGAAAAAAGTTTTTTTTAGTATATAAAATTTTAAAAAAAAATGATATTTTATAGAAAGAATTAGTCTTTTTATTTACCTAAAAATGGTACGCACGGTGGATTTACGCTATGTATCAACTCTCGATATTCGGCAAAATTTTTTGTAGAATTCATAATCTTATTAAGACTTTCGAGTGTCTGTATAGTTTTTGAATTTACCAATTCCCATGTACGCTTCAAACGATGAATTGGCGCAGAATTTAATCCAGAAATAATAGCTGTAAGCGAATTAAAATTATTCAAAGTTCTACACTTATCAGCTACTGCTACAAAATGTTTAATACATAAACATCTTTTTTTGATTTCTAGTTGATCTAAAACTGACTCGGCTACCCATCCCGTTATCTAAATATAGATAATATAGTTAATCAATTAAAATTAAACAATTTCGATCATTAAACTGACAAAACATCAAAAAGAACAAAGGCTTACTTGATTACTGTTCACAATCATGGCCTTAATGTTTACTGCTGCATAATCACCTTCGTCCTTACTCCAAGCCTTATTTAGGCATTCAACAGGTAAGATTTTGTTATACAATTTACTTTCTATTAAAGTTAGTTGTCTAGCAATTTCCAAAGGATCTAATTCCAAGAATTTGAGTTTCTTGATGTTCTTGGGTAAGATTGATGCCGGTGGCTTGTCGGAATTTGTTATTACCAATTCCTTAAACTTAGCATTTTTACATACTCGTTTCTCTATTAATTTCATTAAACCCTTCGTAGCAAATGACATCTTCTCGTTCATCGTTGTATTTGCAAACTCACTCATTCTTTCTAAACAATGTGAATCCTCACCATCTATATAATAATATTCTAACCAAGTTTTCATGATATTAAAAACTCTTATTCTTATAGGTGTTTGCTTCTTTTCTTGCCAAACTTCTAATTCATCATGAGTCAAATTATCAGGCGATTGAATCATAAACCTTTTAACCAACCTATCAAAGAATTCATCTGTTGTACAAAAAGATCTATATGTCAATAAAAATGTAGCAATGAAATTTGAATCTAATAGATCATGCATGGTAAGCCTTTCTATAAGTGCATTAAGAGTTCCTCCTTTGACATAACCTTCCATATTAAATATCATTTCTGATTGATCATAATCATGATTAAGGAACCAAGGTTTATCTTCTTTTTGCTTATGTGAATGAGGGACTATTTCACCAAAGAATTTTTTAACCTTATTTTCACTACGTGGTGATATAGTCCCGCTCGTACCTTCAATTGTTAACGGAGGAGATGAAGAATATGGATAATCAGCTGATGCAGAAACAAACTGAGAGTTTGAACGAGAATGAGTTTGAAATGATAAAGCATCATTATAAGTTGAGGAACTAACTGAACTATCAGAACGAAGGCGGTAGCTTTCATTAGTTGAAATTGGGGACATTGGTAAATCATGATCATCAGAACTTAAATCAACTATTGTTGAATCACCATCATTTATTATAATATCGTCTTCAGGAACGATTTTTATACCCGCTGTTGAAGATTGAGCTTCTTTAAGAGTCATAGATTGATCTGTTGTTGTCAAGTCAGTTTCAACAATTTGATCAAGAGAATTAGAATTTGAAGTAATACGTCTCTTTGTTGGTGGAACTTCGACAGTGCTAGGTCGTCTTGGACGCATAGCTTGAATTTTCATTTGTTCTTGAGCATCCTTTTCTTCAACAAGAAATTTTGTAGCAAGAACAACATCTGCCACTGCTTTATCTACCTTATTTGTAGCAATTAAAACTTGGTCCATAACATTTAGTGGAGCTAACGGATCAGTCGCTGATTGAATACAAATAACTAATCCAGCTATGCTGTTATATGTCGATTGTTTGGCTATTTTAAATTCGTTTATTGTATCTAAACTAGATTCATTCAAATCATCCAAATTTATATCTTCGATAAGAGATAAAAATTGTCCAACTTGAGTGACGACTTGTTTAGTTTGTGAAATTAGTTGAGAAGCAAAAGAGATATTTGAACTGGATATTGAATGAGGAGTATCAATTACTTTATTAACATGACTAAGAAGCGATACAATAGTTTGGGATATATTGCGAGAAGTTTGATCCAATGAAGCAATAAGATCATTCGATAAAGAACGTGATTGACTATATAAATGTGTAGGAGAGTTTGGAATGCTATTATTTTCTTGTGAACTTATACTTGACGAAATTGAAGGTAGATTTGGTATTCGATCGTTAGTTCTAATAATTCCATTTTTTCCATTTTTTTGTGTTTGTAATAGATTACTATTACCACGCCATGAACCACCTATAGTGCTTTCCAATATCCTTGGATCAACTCTTCTAATAACAACAATATGTTCAGAAGCTTGAACAAATTGTCGAACCGCAACTAAAACTTCATAAGCATCGTTTTTCAATTTTTGAGTAGAATCTGGTGGAGGCCATACATCTGAAGCTACCTTTGTTGAAAGAACTAATTTTGAAAGTGAAGCCATTATACGTCTATGATAAACCTTTAGATTTTTATTATGTTTAATTGCAGGTGAATCTTTTTCAATAGTTCCAGATGCATAGAGCATAATTCTTACACTTTCAACAATAGCATTGGTGTAACTCGTATAATTTTGTTTCAAATTCTCTAAAACTGCCAAATTAAGATTGTCAATAGCTAAGATAATATTCTGTAATAAAGAATCCCATGTAACTAGTTCATTAACATTTGGTAAAATTGAATCTTCCGAAAAAATTTTTGGTTGAGAGTACATAGATAATGTAGGAGTTGGGGATAATGGCTCATGCAGATCTTCATCGCCTGATTCACCTCCGTTAGATAAAATTTCATCTCCAACTTTCATCTAAATAACAAATAGTTAAGTTGACTTTTTTTTTTCTATAGTTGATATTTACTAAAATAATTGGTTACTTACTAATTGACCATCGGCATTGATATTATCAAAATTCCAGGTTGTCTCACCCGTTAATTTATTATAATAAAACACTCTACCTTGAGCTGTAAATTTCTGAGTCCAAATGAGTGAAAGCTAATAAAAAAAGAATATATTTATTTAAACATTTAAATATATTCAAATAAATTTTTTTTTTTAAAAAAAAAAAGAAAAAAAATTTAGTTACATTTTCAATTGATCTTCTTTGTTGTGACATTTGTTGAATAGTGTCATTACTGGTTTGACTATCTTTAGAATTAATAATACTCGCTTTATCTTCAATTTTATCATTTTTTAAATAATTTTTTTGTAATTCAATTTCATCATCCTTGTACTCACTAATATCGGAATTACTAGAAGTAGCATTCATAGTACCATTTTTAGGATAAGTCCATTTAATCTCCTTAGTTATTACATTATAATAGTAAAACCTTCCATCTACGGTTGGTTGTTGTACCCAATTTTCTGGTAACGTTCTTGAATTACTATTACCACTCGTTGTATATGTTGATGAATAAGATTCATTATCATCAATTGGTAATTCCCATGATGATTCACCTGTCTTTGTATTATAATAAAAAGCATCACCATCCGGAGTATGTTGAGTAATCCAATCAATCAACTAAAAAAAAGGTTTTATTATTGTTTGAAAACAAAAAAAAAAAGGTTGACCTTCCTTTATAATTCATACACATAATTATATATACCTTTTCATCCTCATCCAGCATATGATTCCCTTCATAAGCAGTAACGTAGTTACTTGGAAACCAACCACGTTCACCATTACATAGTCCATCCCACCAGCCAGATTCTAGTTGGGTAAGTACTTGTATGATATCGTTTCTTTTGAAAGATAAATTTGTAGACTCATTTGAATCAAAATCATATAATGCTCTTACTAACAAGATAGAAGTAGTCATTATTATTATTATTTTTTTTTTTTATGAATTCATAGATAAAGTTACAAAATTTATAAATCAAAGGTGTGAAAGAGAAAAAAAAAAATTAATTAAAGTATATATATACAAATTGTTTAGTGAAATAAATATTGTTGGATGATCGGCGAATAACTACTTACTTTGTTACATAATTTGTTACACAGGAAACCATTCATTTGCGACGCGTATCGAAAATAAATTCTGCATCTAAATATTTGTTAGATCGACTTGCTCCTTACGGATATTTTTGGAATATAAGAAATGATTCATTCTAGCTCAATTAGTAATTCTTTTTGGTAATTGATAAAGAATACAAAAAAGAGCTTTTCGTTTTATATGGTAATAAATGAGAGTGTCAACTCCTTAAAAATGACAAATTGAAGACCGTCGATTCATTTTGACGGGATGACGCGTAACTGGCCAATCAAAAAATCATGACGACAAATTACCCTTTTTTTTTCCTTTATTCCTTTAAACAGTAAATTAGCCTTTGGTACATTTGTAGCTTGTATTCTTTTCATTCAAACCATTTCAACTATTTCTAAGATGAATGAGGGTTCCGAGCAAATAAAGCATGCATTGTTTTGACAGTATTTTTGATAGTCTGATATCCAAAAGTATCATCATAAATACTAAACTAAAAAAAAATACTCAACTTTTCACAATTTATTTCGGTTTTAACTCGGGGATCATTTCTTTTGAAAAGGATAACCCTTTTTGATGCCCTTTTTTTTTTAAAATCCAGTTCACCTTTTTTGGTAAAAATTGCTTTCCCAAGAAAGTTTCCTTACAAATTTGCTAGTAAGAAAATGAAAAATTCCTTATCAACGAAAAAAAAAGTTTGGTTTTTAATAGTAATGCTTTCATGAATTGTGAAGTTGGTTATCAGTTGATGAACTAGTTAATAAAGACAACGAAAACAGAAATGATTGGATATCATTTTATTTTCAGAAAGCATTGATGATCTTTCATATTCGTTATTCTATATGGAGGAATCCCTGGCAAATTTGGAATACAATAACATGATATCACGGTGCAATATTTTATCATTCACCGAATTGAAAATTTAGCAGAACAAGTTTGTCAACGAAATACACGAACTCTATAAAAAAAAAATTTATAAATTATTGAAGCAGGCAAATGGGTTCCGGAATTCGTAACTATTGAAATAATTGTGGCAACACTACCCACGTCATTTTGCTTTTCAAATCATTTACTCGATAAATTTGTTAACAAAGGAAATTGGATCTTATTGATAGCATTATAAACACGGGTTTACTAATTTACTCCAGGCTCTGATTGGCTGGTATAATTGAGATTAGTTAGGGTTAGGGTTAGGGTTAGGGCTTAGGTGATTTATCAGTGACACCGGTAGTGTTTCAATTTTTATTAAGTATCTGCCCATCATGACAAATAACAGTTGAATATACCAGCCAATCAGAGCCTGGAGGGTAAATTAGAGGGATGGGGTTAATTAACCGTTATTTATGATTAACCAATCAAATTCAAGCTTTATTTTATAATATAATCTATAATCGGCTATAATTAATATAGTTAGAAATAAAAATTCTTGTACAATTCTACATCATCTGCAGCTGCAGAAAGAAATTTTTACACTTTTGGTTTCATTCATAATAAAATTCGTAATAGATTACAA